GGTTCAAGTCCTCGTGCGATCATATGCCGGCTCAGTCTTTCGTAGGTGCTTATAGAGGTATGTCATGTGTATATGCGTTTATAGGAGTGAGTGTATGTGTGTGTGTGTATATATATGAGCGTTCCGACCAAAGAGATGGATAGAAGCATAGGGGTGCCGTAGTGGGCGTACCTCGTGCGAAGTGGTGCTCTCGGCGAGTCGCCGCCGCGCCCGTAGGAGGGATGTTGGGATCTCGCGGCCACTCGTTGGCCCAGGAAGAGGGTGCGACGCCGGCCGGGCAATGCGTGCAAGTCGACCGCCGAGAATTGGGAAGCCCGCAGAGCCTGGATGAGAGGCAGCAAACCAGAGCACCGATCGAGGTCAGGCCGTCGTGACTCCGCCCTGTGTCTAAGCGCTGAGCGCTGAGCGGAGGAACCAGCGGCCGTGCGTACGTGCGCGTGGAGGAGGCGTTTGTATTCTGGATGCAACACAGTTGGCCTAGGCGTGTAACCATATATACTGCACCGTGTCGCGTGTCTGCAGCACACCGGGACATTGGCGGTCAGCCGGTTACCAACCGCGCTACACTTTCTAAACACCGACTGATAACGTGTTCCGAGGAGGATGAGTGGGTCCTGAGGCCTACACTTCTAAACACCGAAATTCAGATGATCTAGTAGTATAGTACACACAAGTCTTTCCCTGCGAAGTTTCCAGGAAACTAACGGCGGAACTTTTAGCGTGTGGACTGCGTATATGCTCACACGAAGGTGTTTGAAACTTTCCTAGCCGACGTACGAAAAACGACGTTTCGTCGGAAACTTCGCTAGCCGACGTACACTTCTAAACACCGAAAGTCTACAGGAGCCGTGGAGACGGGGCAGAAAAGTCGAGCCGAAAGCGGAAGCCGCTCAAACTAAGCTATCGTCTCTCGCAATGCTCGCGTTGTCTCTGATTTTGCGCGTCAGTTCTTTTTCTCAACATAGCGCAGTGTTAAAGCATCTCCAACAGTCGCGCTAAACTAGCGCCGCGCCGCAAAATAGGCGTTTTTAGCGCGCGCGCAACGCGTCAGGGCGCTCCAGCGGACGCGTAAAAACGGCGCGCGCGCTAAAACGGGTTGGGCGCGCAGGCAAAAACACTTACCCGCGCGGCGTATTTCGGGCGCCCACTACAGCGCGCGGCACACTCGAGCGCTCGCGCCCGCTCTTCCTCTCGCGCTTCCACCCCCGACCGGCCGCGCCGCCGCCGCCGCCCGCGCACCCCGGCTACCGTCTCAGGCTTCCCCGGCCTATCCCCGCGCGCCCGCGCTTCCGCCCATCCCCTCCTAGTATATGTGGTTTGTGCGGCGCGCGCGCTGCATTATGGCGCGGCTGCTAGAGCGGCGCGCGCGTGCTGCATTATAGCGCCGCTGCTGGAGCCAGCGCAGACGGGCACGCAAAACCAGCCGCAGCGCGCGCGTTAACGGATTTTTTGCGCGCGGTGCTATAGCGCGGCTGTTGGAGATGCTCTTAGTAAATACTATTGGTTTGGACCTGGACCGCTCCATCGTGGGTTCCTTTGTTGCTGAAATCAAATTGGCATGTGGGGCTCTATCTTCTGTGACTTTCAAGCATGTTCGACGGTATCGTAATGTGTTAGCTCATGTTTTAGCTCGATCTAGTTTGAACTCTGTAAATCCTTGTATTTTTCATTCTACTCTGGATTGCATCCGGGAGACCTTGTGTAACTTGTTTGCTTGATTAATAAAGTCCGATGTTCTCTATCTAAAAAAAATACTATTGGTTTGTAAGACTTGGTCTTTCGTCTTCTCTTGTGGGAGGTTTTTTGCCTGTCGTATGTTCAATCTTCTTTTTATACAAAAGTTTGATATACTTGGCCCGTTGTGTGTTTCTACTAAAAAATCCCTTCACTTTTTTAAGAACACAGCTCCAACTGGGAACGTGGACATGCGCGTTCGCTTTTTCATTTAGGTTGGCTGGTGCGCTTTTTCATTTAGGTTGGCTGGTGCGCCTAGCATACCCATTTTTACTCACGTGGCCGAAACACATTTAATAAAGTATAATTATACACAAATGGTCGGTTAAAGTCCACTTAAACAATAACTAAACATTATAAAACCCTAAGAGCCCGCACACTACCCTAGTAGACCAACTTGCCCTTGCCTTTGTCGTCGTTGTTGCCGGCAGTGAGGTCGATGAAGACTGGAGGCGGCCCAGCCCAACCGAACGCGGCTTGATAGGCCGCCAGGACAACCTCCTCCAGCGTCTGCTGCAGCGGCAACATTGCAGCGAGGCGGGCACGCTCCTCCTCCTTCTCCTCCTCGTGGCTCAACGCCTCCTCGTCATGGCGCACCTGCTGCTCAAGGCGCATCCGCCGCTCGCCGCCGTCCTCCTCCTCGGCGGGCTAATGCACCTTACGGCGCTCAAGGTGGACCGCCCCCTCTTCCGGCGTGGTGGCGAAGTAGCAGGGAGGTGCGCTTACCTACTCGCGAAATTGGCCGGTCTACAAATAGGATTCCTCGGGCCAAGTGGGGCCGGGGGGGGGGGATCGCTTACACGCGGGCATGGGTTTGTGCTCCGACTCCGACTCTGGCTTGCCCTTGGGCACGACAACGAGCGGCAGCTGCGGCGCATGGACGGAGTCGCCCGCCACTGACAAGGCAAGGGCGTGCTCCAGCCCATCCCAGTGCCACCATGCCTGGTAGACTGGTATGTACAACTACTCTCGCTCCCGCGGTGACGTGCGGCGTGTAGCCGGCGACGGAGGAGGAGGGAGCTCGCGCCGGCGCTGAACCTCCCATTCCTCCCTCCCTCTTCCACTAAAGAAGCCCATGCTTGCTTGCTAGGGTTTTGGGCTGGTTGGCTAGGGTTTTGTGGTCGCTGGCGAGGGAGCAAAAGTGGCAAGATGTGGACCGGAAGTGGATGAGGCCGGCCCCGCCACACGCGTCCATTAAAAAGGACGGGCACACGACCCTTTCACACATTGCCAGGCGGGCCCTCGGCAGGTGGCCGAGTTAATTACGACTGCATGAGGTGGTTGGCCGACCGACATCTGGGGCACGATGGACAGCAAAGGGACGCGCGGCGCGTCCTCTTCGTGGCTTGAAATGTGTCGGCACGAACATGAAGAAGATGCATTTTGGGTTTCGGTCGCCTCGTTAGGCGGCGTTTTTTTCGCCGCGACCCAAACGGATATGAGCAGATTAAATGAGTCGTCCGGTTGAAGTTGCTCTAACTCGCAATTCAGTAAAACTCGTTCGTCCCAGATTTTCTTGTCACGAGTGAGCCCCACATCGTTTTTGTTTTTCTTCGGATGTGGGGCTGCTTTGTATTTTTTTTCTGCGTTGATGGGGCAGCAGGCAAAAAAAAAAAATACTTGTGAGGAAATCAAACTCCACACCTCCACTTTCGTTCCGATCACAACAGCCAAATAAGCCATCCTATGATTTGTGCTACAAAAAGGGTCGTTACCCAATTAATAGTCCCACCTCATTCTTTCTATCAAAATCTACTAATTCTTATATGCTGCCAAGTTGCCTTAAAGTTGCCCAAAGACCAGATAAAGGAGGACCAGAGCCGATCCAATGTATTTTTGGGCCCGGGGCGATGTA